CCCCCCCCCCCCCCCCCCCCATGTGGAAATTCCTGGAATAAAGGTGAAAATTCCTAGAACAAAGGTGAAAATTTCTGGAATAATGGTGGAAATTCCTGGAATAAAGGTGGAAATTCCTGGAATAAAGGTGGAAATTCTTGGAATAAAGGTAGTCAGCATTATATTGACCACATTACTCATCAAGTGTCAACTTGTCTATATGAATATGTGTCTAGCATCATATGTTTTAGGTACGAATAGCAGGAAAAGAGTCTTTAATTCACAGCTTCTTTTGTGTTTTGTCCTTAAAAAAGACAGTTGACATGTTATGTTGTGGTTTACACCTAGGGGCTACGATATCTTTGACATTCAGCCCAGCACATCCGATTCCAGCCAACACTCCCTCTTTTTCAACCATTTGGTCGATGAGTAAACTTAGTTGAACAGTCCTGCTTTACAAGATGTTGGAAACCTTCTGCAGCATTTGTTGGCTGTTTGTTGTTTTCCTAAAGAAGTTTAGCTGCAGTAGTCTTCCACTGCTTCGGGAATCATTGTCTTCTTATTCTTCTTCTGGGCGTTCGCGGCATGTAAACTTCACTGGAAAGTTCTGCTTGTTGGTCCACTTCTGGACTTTGGTCCTGTTGAAAAAACTTGAGTTTTGTGTGCACATACATTCCTCAGATCTGGATTATTTTTATGCAGGCTTTTGGCTCTTTGCCTCTCAGGGAGATGCACTCTGACTTTGAAGGAAACATCCCTAATTAGTTCCCTTGTATAACATGATTGTCAGAGTGGCTCTAGGTCTAATCTTTCCATGAGGTCCTGGAATAAACAGGGAGAGAAACATTGACAAAAAAGTCTGCAGTCAAATTGTCTGTATGACCTCTTATTCCAGATAATAAATAACGAAATAACTTTTTATAAACACATACCTAACTGGCATATTGCATCCAGCACATACTGGGATACGTCCTGCAGCAGGCAGCATTGCTGGGTTCATAGCAGCATCTCCTTGCTTGCCTCTAGTGGCCCCTATGCCTGTTGGTATAGGAGCTACACCCGAGCCAAATGGGCGGGGTGTTATGTTGGACACTGGAGCTGGTGCAGGTGGAGGAGCCCAAGGTTTCGCAGCAGAAGCAACAGGTGTATGGGCTGGTTGGAAGGCAGGTGTCGATACTGGTTCTAAAACAGGAGGATAAAAAAATATTGTCACAGTAAAAAATAATGATGTCTGGGAAAAGCTAATCTAGAAGAACATTGTATGCAGCTATAGCAAAGAGAGATACATAGCTGGAAAATTTCTGAGGCCACAGAAACACTAGGGGCAGGATCAGAAATGATGATATCAAGAAAGAAGTTGGGACGCAACCAGTAAGTACTAAACTAAATTAAGAGTTAACAGTTTAAGTGGTTTGGATATTTCTCCAAACTTCAAGGAATTCCAGTGAAATGTAACTAAAAAGCTTAACGAAAAGATTTAGATATAATGCAAGCAGAGCCAGAGATCAACCACGTTAGCGATGAATAGATGGGATATCCGGAAGCCAAAAATATCAGTATCTATGTAGCATATACCAAGGCTTGCATTCAATGCCTCATCAATACCTGAAGTTGAAAGGCATAAAAGAACCAGAGAATAAGAGTAAGTAGAAGACACAGTACAAAATAACAGAAACAGCATGATAAAGTGTTGAAAGTCATGTTATCACAACTGATATCACTGTACATTATACTTTCCCATGTGTGCTCATTACTCAAATGCAGCAGCAACTCCAAGGTACCTCTAATGATTTTTCCCATGAGGTGCTGGTTATAATGTCTCCCATCTGAGCCTCAAATGCAGCACAGATATGATTCATCATGCTTTAGTCCGAGGTCATGTAACTGTGTTAGTGTCACAATGTGTTTTTAAAGGAATTTTTTCCCAGAATTCACATAGAATTATCACAAATTCTTTGGAAGCTGAAGAAAAGATATCAAGCCAAACAAGAAGTAGAACTAATCAGCTTCACATTATCATAATCACAAATGACAAGTGAATGTTGTGGCTAGAAAGCCTTCATCAACACCTGTCATGAAAAGACAATGTTACATTTACAAATAAATAATACACGAAATCACTTAGCTGAGATCTCTCCAAAAAGAATCCATATGTCTCTCTGGCCAGTTGAAGCTCTGAGATATGTGTGAGAGACCCCTGGCATACCTTATATGCTTTTACACATTTGTAAAAAAAAACATGTCATAATGACTGTTTTCATTTGATCAAATCTCAAAAGTAAAAATTCCACTTCTAAAAGAAAACAGGTAGGTAGGTAAGTTGTACCCCACCAAGACATCAAATAAGCGATAAACACCTGGTGACACAGAATGCCACCATGGGGATGAGGATCACCCGTGGAGAGGTCCCAGAAACCCCATTCAACCGTTAGGCCATTTTAAGGCCTGGCTATATTTAGGGCTCCCGGCAAAAGCCAGAGTGGGGCTTTAAAATAACTCAAAAATAACTATTTATAACTCAACACAGAGACAACTGTACCTAAAGAAAACAGTAATGTAACACTGACACAACTACTGACTCTTCAAAACCTGTTTGGTTTTATAATGCAGAATAAGGTGATTATTTCAGCAACAATAAAAAGTCAAGGAACAAACTTACTGTAAGCTGGAGCAGGAGGTGGTACTGGTGCTCCACTGCATAAAAAAAAAAGACAAGAAAACAGAGAGTGAGATTACATACAGAAACTGGCCCAAAAAAAAAACAAGGAGGACGTGTTTAAATCAGGGGCAGGGAATATCCAGCCCATGGGCTGAAAAAGTACAGGAACCCCAGCATATGATGCTAGTCATTTTTTTCTCTTCTTATGTAAACCGATCGGCACTCAGTGGGTGATGCGGTCCAAATCATACCAACCATTCTTGCTTCCTATGTCATTTCCTGGTGCCCATTCAAAGTTGTGACCTGAAAACCAAGGTCATTGTTTAAAAAAATATTTCTTTTTTTATGTGGATTCAACCCAAGATCTTTGGGCCAGCAGGTGAGAATGTAGCCCTTAGGCTACGTTCAAAATCATTTTTCAATGGTTGACCAAATATAACAAACTTATTTTTAAGTTGATAATCAGGGATGAACTGTGGACATGTAGTTTAATAGATAAAAGATGAGAACACCCTAAAGAAGAAGAAAAAAGAGTAATAAAGACATATTGAAAGAAACTGTCTCATGAAGAGAACTGATTGCCCACATCAGAAGGAGACAATCTTTGGTCATGTCATGAGAAAGAGAAAACTGGAATACATCGTGATAGGGGGAAAGTTGGAGGGGAAGAGAGGTAGGGAGAGACTGAGAAAGAAGATGCCGGACAGTCTGACATATGGCTTGGAGAATCATCTGTGTCTGAGTTGATTGAAAGTACACGAGACAGAAGGTTATGGATAGACATGACTTCCAACGCTACACGGCATGGACTTTAAGAAGAATCAGGCATGGCCAGTGAATGATGTTATTTATAAATAGCCTAACATCAGCTTGCAGTAAAAAAACATTACTCACCCCTGGTTTAAACTACAAGGGAAAGCTATTATACAGAGAAATGTTATAAAAAAAATAAAAAGCAGCCAAAACACACAACTTCCTGCTTGTGGGGACAACATGCAAAAATAAAAATGAGAATTATCCAACTTCACACATGTGAAAAACATGCCAGAACAAAAACAATCATGCTGGTGAAATGAACAAACTAATTGAACATCTTGTAAACTCAACAGCAAAGAAAAAAAAATATGTCAGAATAAAATGCCTATAAATTTAATTCTTCATTATTAACTTTTCTACTCTGCTTGATTACATTAATTTCACTAAACTATAGATTTTTTTTAAATAACATGCAGTAGCACACTGGTTATTTTGTTGAACATGGATTTACTCCGGTCCATTGAGGAAGAGTAGTGGTTGTATTCATTTCCACATAAATATTATCATTCAATCCTTTTGGTTTTAAATGAAATGTAAAGTTCCCATTGTATTTACAGTTTATACAGTTATTATTTCATATTTTAGATATCATATAACAATTTATTTTTGTCATTTATTTGGTCACTATTTAAATTATCTACTGTGATTCTATCATACTATCTAATGCCCTTTATTTCGCACAAGCACCAAATAATAAATGTATATAGTTTATTGGTAACTGTTTTAGTTGTTTTTTTTTTTTGTGTTTCCGCTTCATACAATTGTACCGATTTGACGACAGATTTAACTATTTTAGTATTTTTTTCAAAACAAAGTACTGCTTTTAATTTCTTTTGACTTTCACATATTTCTAGCTCTGTGTAAACTCTTTTTGAATTTTCTATTCATATTTCAGCTGTACCGATTTGCTTTTAATTTCTTTTGACTTTCACATATTTCTAGCTTTTTGAAAACTCTTTTTGAATTTTCTATTCATATTTCAGCTGCACCGATTTGAAACTAGAGCTAAATATTTCAAGTTTGTTACCACTGTTAATTTTCTTCTTTGTATTTTAAAATCTCTATTAGTTCCCCTATCTTTATCTACCTTACTGCCTAAACAGATGTTTCCTGCACATCCTGATGTCGGATATCACCAAGAGAAACTGGATTACTGTATACCTGGTTTTTTCTATAAAAAACTGATTTCTTAACTTGCTCTAACATCTTTTTCTTCTGCACTGACCTTAACTGGGTAGTCTGAACAGTGTTGTGATTTGCAGCTAAACTGCAACATCTAAATCTTTCAGCCCAAAACATCTAATTTAAAAAAATCCTTAATTAGTTGCATTTTACAACATGCTTCTTAGGGAGCAATGAATCTGTTTTTTCCCCCTCCAAGATAGGGTCTGAGAACCCTGATGGGTAATCTCAAAATCAATATCTAAATGTTTGTATGTTCTCTAAATTAAAACCAGTCCCCACCTAATCTACAAAATAAATATCTCCCTTATTTAAAAATATTGTTTTTGTTTTCCCACCCATAGAAATCAAAGTACATCCCAACCTGTCAAGTTGCTGCTGAAGCATTTTAAATGTCCTAGAATGTGCGGGTCCTGGAACCTCATCCTTCTGTATAAGTCCCACCTCTTCTTGCACCAAAAGAAATGTTTCAGATGGCACCCATCTTTTCCTACCATGCTCATCGTATTCACTCTCACCTGCAGGTGGTGGTGGTGGAGGGATATCTGGTGGGGTGCGACTACTGAAACAATACACAAGCAACAATGCAACCAAAAATATTTAAAACTAACATGCACAAAATGCAAAGAAAAATACAAAAAGCAGTGGTGGGTTTGTTTTAACTTGTATGTGATCGGAATGTAAAAGTAAGTAAAGGACCCTTTTGACTGCCTTCACGTGTACTGGACACATTGGTCAAAGTAAAGATCCGTTTTCACGCCTTCAGGCGTATCGGGCATATGGGAAGAGCGCCCATATTTTTACAGGCCATCAGCGCTCCGTGAGTAATGTGGTCATCATTACGCCGGATGTCTTTACTTTCCCAGGACATACATCCTGGTATCCATTTTAGGCTGGGTCAACCTGCGATGCCTCATACCATGATAAAAATCCACGCAGCCAGCAGTGGGTTTTGATCACGGTAAGTTGGACACATAGGGATAGACCTATATTTTACAGACCAATCGACACAAAGAGAGTGATGTAGTCAACATCACACCGTCTGCCTTTACTTCCCAGGACTTTAGCTGATGCCCATTTAGGCTGAATCAACCTGAGAGCCAAGGTCATTTTTTTTTAAGTGCAGCATCATCAGGAGCTGAACTCATGACCTTCAGATCAGCAGGCAAGCATCTAGCCACTAGACCACTGTGGCTACCTGGTCAGAATGTGTAATGGTTAATTATGTGTTAAATCTGATAGGTTAATTCTGTGTTATGACTGAACAGTTATTTCTTCTTCTTTCTTCTTAACACTCACTGGCTGTAAACTCTGGCAACAAAATTTGGGTTGTTCATCCACTTCTGGACTTTGGTCTTGTTCCAGAACTCGAGTGTTGTGTGCAAGTTCATTTTACAGATTGACATTTTTAAATATTTTTATGCAAACTGTTGGTTTCTCACCTCTCAGGCAGATGTACTCTAAATTTATAGGAAGCACCCCTAATTAGTCAATTTTTATGACATGCTCATTGGGGTGGCAGGGAAAGCGGGGGAGGGGGGGGGGGAGTTGGAAACTGGGTTATACACTGCTTATATTTACCATTCAACTGAATTTTATGTTTGCTTGAATTTTTATAATTAAATTATATTTGCATGCCACGCAATACAGCCTCAGCAGGACTGAAAAAGGGGAAAATGGGAAAAATGCAAAAAACAAATATCCCTAATAAAGCTACATCTTCAAACAGAAACACTGCATATCAAGTCGATACCAGCGTGCAATATTTCTATATGATGAGGCTGCTGTGACAATAATTTGTTTTATGATATCCAAAATTAAAAGATTTCAATATGAACTGAAAGCAATCAAATATATGGACATGACAGACAAAAGAATCACAGAAGAATGCATGCATAACCCCCAAGTCCCACAAGACCACTAACAAGTCTACTATATGGTGTGTACTGGCTGTTTCCTTATATTTAACCAATCAAAATATTCAAAGAACAATCGGTTAAAAGACCCTTTTCCTCGCCTTCAGGCATTTTGGGCACACAGGGCTAGAGCTAAATTTTACAGACCAATCAACACTCGATAGATGATGTGGTCAGCATCACATCAGCCGCCTTTATTTCCCAGAACTTCAACTGGTACCTAAATAAAGATGGGTCAGCCTAGGAGCCACAGTCATTTTTTTTTTAAAGTCCAGCTCCATCATGACCTGAATACATGAGCTTCAGATCTGCAGGCGAACTTCTAGCCGCTACATCATAGCAGCTCCCAAAAATCTGTTAGAGACGTATCATATATGTAAAAATACAAAGCCTAATGCTCTAGTAAGTTAGTTTGTGTTTTTTTTAAGTAAAAACCCTATTCATGCCAGTGGCACTTAGGTTTTTGATGCTACACTAAATTGTTACAGACCAATCAGCCCTCAATGGCTGATGTGGCCAGCATAATGCCAAGACTTTATCTATTTTAAGCTGAGTCAACTTGGGAGCCAAGATCATTTTTTTTTAAATCTGATTCCATGTGAGTTCGAGCTCAGGACGTTTGAGCCAGCAGGCAAGTTTTTAGCCACAGTGCCATCACAGCTAATGCTCTAGTAGTCATTTAATCACAGATATGCTCAAACCTTCTGAGTTGGGATATTTACAGTTTTTGGTTTTTCAGATACTAGATTTATATATTTGATCAATACAGATTCTAGTTTTTGTATCCAGGTAGTAATTTGTATGAAGAATTATACTCATGTGACCTCATGCTGTTTCACTGTAGCAAAATATTGTAACAAAAATGGTGCACGTGATGTAACAACTATAAAATCTATGCTTCTAAAATATTATAAGGACATCTTCCCAAGAAAAAAAATTCATGCTTCAATGTTTCTCACTACACGCAAAACCATGGTTGGTTTACGATCAGTCATACAATTCTTTATGTTTTCCTCCTCACATATAACACTGTTTATGCAACTTGTTACACTTGAATAAATATCTAAATGAATTTTTAATGAGTTGACCGTTGTTTCTTTTTACAACATGAGGTTCATGGGGCTGTCAACTGATTGTCGAACAGCAACATACGGTATTTAAAGAGAAGAGTCAAACAATAAGAAACATAACAATACTCAGCTCATTTCCACTCAAATTAGATAACACACACTGTAACTAGATAAATGTGCTTAGCTAAGATGGTTAAATCTTATTTACAAACAATAAAATGAGTAATTAACTGAAATAACACTTTTAGTTAATTGCAAGACAAAAACAGTTAGTGGGATAAATGTATTCAGCTGATTAAGTGACGAAAACCATAAAAGTAGTAATGAGTTGATACACTGGCATCAAAACTCCAGACCAGTTTAGAAAAATAGAGCAATAAAGGGGAGGGAGGGAGAGAGAAAGAGAGAGAGAGAGAGAGAGAGGGAGAGAGAGAGAGGGAGAGAGAGAGAGAGAGAGAGAGAGAGAGAGAGAGAGAGAGAGAGAGAGAGAGAGAGAGAGAGAGAGAGAGAGATGCGCACACACATGCATGCATGCACGCATACGCACGCACTCACTCACATGTAGCATGCATGCACACACAAATATTCACATGCCTGGCAGGGTGCAGTGTTACTGCTATGCTTTACTTCACCGAAGGGTCCCAGTGACAACACACAGGTGAAGATTTGGCTAAGAAGGGTTAATGTTAGGTGGCTAAATGTTACCATTCATGCATAATATCCACACACACAAAAAGGGTTGGAATGTTGCATGAAAGACTTTGCTCTAGCAAAAGATGAAAGGAAGAGGAAAAAAGAAAAAAATAATTACAAGTGGCCAGTCACATATTTTTAAAATACATAATACAGCTATGCAAGGGGAGCTGCATGGTGTAGTGGCTAAATGCCCTCCTGCAGGCTCGAGTGTTGTGGGTTCAAATCCCCATCAAGCCGGATTTGTTTTAAAAAAATGACCTTTGCTCTCTGGGTGACCCAGCCTAAACTGGGTACCAGGTAAAGCTCGAGGACATGGAAAAAGTTCCTTTACGTCACAATGCAGCAACAACAAAAAGATGTGCTTTAACTCTTTGAGCCCCAGAGGGTTTAGCATCAGAGGCCCAAGCAGTAGTCAAGAAAGATGTAAAATTTGTGCATCTTGCGTTTATTGGGCCTCTAGGTGGGAACCTACGAACGTATGATGTGCTCCTTGGGACTCAAAGAGTTAATTCAGACTAAAAACCTTTCAATTATATTTTTACCACTAGCCTGAAAAATAGAAAATTACCCTGCGGCCGGCTCATCAGTGTCAGTAAGAAACTTAGACTGACCCTCCAACTGGGTGTTCACATTGACGTTGGAGTAAAGCCCTATGGGATTGTTATACCGCTGTGACACTAGGGCCTTCACTGTGCCCGGTTTACTACCTGGCCCTATGGGTGTGGCTACAGGTGCACGAGGTGCTTCAGGGACAGGGGTAGGCTTGGGCGCTGATGAAGTGGTTGGAGCACTTTGACTTACACGTGGCTTCAGGGCGGTATTCAGCTCTGAAATAGGAGAATGATGATGGGCATTCATGGGTTAGTTGATTCATGCATTCAAATAAGTGACTGCTAAGGATGTTAATTGTTCACTGCAAATTCCAACAAACTATACACACTTTTCAGTAGTGCTACACAAACTACATATATCTTCAATATTAAGTTAGCTGTGTGTCCTTTATAGACGTTACAGAACCAACTCCAGCATCTTTTTTTAATTTTGGCTGTTTATGACTTCACTAGGCAATTTTACATCCAGTAGTTTGCCACTGCTTTCTAAATAGTTGGCTCTTAATACAACTGCTAAAATCAGCACAAGGCGGTCTGCATCCATATCACCAGCAGCTGGGATAGAACCTGTCACCCAGGAATTACAAAGTGCATTTGCAACGCCTAAGCCACAGATGCATATCTTCTATAAATGTCTACAAACTGTATATTCATATCAAAGTTAGGTTTCTTCATATACAGTGAAAGCGCTGTTATTTAACTCTTCCAGTTCCACAGAGTCCTACAGCTGATGACTGCAGAGGTAAACAGTCACTATTTTAGTCAGCCACAAGTTCTCTTTGAGGGGAGCTACTATGGTATACCAGGTAAAGCCCTGGAAAGTAAAGGTGGCCAGGATGATGATGACCACATCATACACTAAGTATTGATTGTTCTATCAAATATATGTCTAACACTGTATGCCCAACACACCTAAAGGCAAAAAAAAAGGTCCTTTTCTTAAAAGTTCTCTTTGGAATAGCATAAGCTAATCCCAGTATTAACTGGGTGTTTCCCTGCGTGGATTCCGTGGGTGTTTCCCTGCATGGATTACCTGGGTGTTTCCCTGCATGGATTACCTAGGTGTTTCCCTGCATGGATTACCTGGGTGTTTCCCTGCGTGGATTCCGTGGGTGTTTCCCTGCATGGATTACCTGGGTGTTTCCCTGCATGGATTACCTGGGTGTTTCCCTGCGTGGATTCCCTGGGTGTTTCCCTGCGTGGATTCCGTGGGTGTTTCCCTGCATGGATTACCTGGGTGTTTCCCTGCGTGGATTACCTGAGTGTTTCCCTGCGTGGATTCCAGGGGCCCCATTTAAGAGGGGGGGGGGGGGAGAGAACAGATCCACTGCTGCACAACAAGTAATTATTGGTCTGTACAGAATGTGCTTGGCCAATATCACAGCTTAGCTGTAAACACTACACAATATGCCCCTTGCTCATATAATGGCAAATGCAGAAAAAGAAAAAAGAAGAAGGATAATTAGCTATTCTGTTCCCCATGTGGGTTCTGGGGCCTCGGTTTGGAAGGGAAAAGAAAAATCCACTTCCCTCTAACAAGCATGTCCCAAAAGGCAACTAATTATGAGTTTGCTGAAAGGTGCAGTTGTACTGCTATAAACCACAGCACAACATACCAACCATCCTTTCAAGGATAAATGAAGAGGACAAAGTTGTGTGGTTTCCCTAAGCAATTTTACATTCAGTAGTTTGTCACTGCTTTCTCAATGGTACATCATTCATACCCCGGGGAAAAACATACAAATTGGTTTGCTAACATATTGCCTTCAGTTGACTTCAAACCCAAGAATGTCAGAATTGTGAAACTGTGTTCACTCTTAAGCGACAGAGCATTATGAGGAATCATTCATCATTAGACTGAATAAATATTGAAAATGGTCACTGGAGTAGCCAGATATTTTTAATATGCTCAGACCAAATGCACAAAAATACGATAAAACATTATGTGTTGGCTAAGAGTCAAAAGAAAAGCCTGTTAACACAGCATAGTGTTGCTTGAGACTAACAAAGTTCAGCAACTCCTAACCAACTCTGCATATGTTTTTCCCCCTTATCTCAGACTACTAATTATATTAACCGCCCTTTGCACCAGTTTTTACCGTTAGACCACTCTGCCCTGCTATTACATTCAACCTTTTTAATTTGTGAGGGTAAACGTGTTGGCTACAGAGTCAAAATTAGTATGAAATATATGTTAGCAAAGTTTTCAGGGAATTTTTACTCTAGCGTACGTAACATTAAGTTTATTATTGGGTGCTGCAGAAATATGGATAATGAGCAAACAACATAAAGTTAAGGCTGATGCCTTTGAGATATGGTTATGTTCACTTACTTCATATTAATTTTTCCAAAGAAACCACATAACTTTTCTGCCTTTCAATTTTTTATTTTTTATTTTTGTACTTGTCTACCTGTTGTCCATGCCTTGCATTCGAACAAAAGTATAGGCTCCTTATAACACTTGAAAACTCTTTTTCTTACTGCAATTTTCACCTTTATTATTTATATATTTATAAATTTCCCGTTTCGTAAGGCTACAATGAGCTGGAAATGTAGAGACTGGCCAGAGGGTACTGCAGAATCATAAAACAACAACTGATTCATGAAAATTCCTACCCAGATGATATGACTATCTACCTATCTACACAAATGCCTTTGTGTTGAGGGGCAAAAGATGTGCATTTGGATTTACAGCAAAAGCAAACAGATAACTTTTAGTGCAAAAGAGCCTGTCTTATATTAACAGAACATCTAGTTTGAGAATGGAGGTGGAGGCAGTCACTGCAGCTTCTGCTGACTTGAAAACCAGCTGCACACATAGGTGACTATAACTGACCCCCATATATCCCAGGCTAACTCACTGATATTAGAATAATAATGTAAACAGTTACCTCTGCCCTCATCCATGAGATTTGTCAAATATTTGAAAGACTTAGATTGGTGCTGCCCTGCATCCGGTGACTCTTCTCTTTCAGCATATTTATCTCCTACACTTTGCAAATGTTGCTCCTGTTTTGCTTGACTTTAATTATTTGTTAATTAAAGGGAATGAAAAAAATCAATGCATTTTGGTGAAATCAAAACCAACAGAAACACACAAGATGTGTACAAGAAATTAAATAAATAATACAGCATCCCACAAAACTCATATGGCACACACACACAGCAATAATAAAACACATATATATTAGTTTACACACTGAATTATATATAACTCCTTACACTGTATGAAACTGGTGACCTAGTGATTCATTAAATCAACAAAGTGCCAAGCAACTCACCATATGTTTATTAGGGCTAGTTTAGATCTGTCTTCAATACCTACATGTGTCCTTTCCAGCTTGAATATTAACTCATAAATTGTTACTTCAACTTCTTTACTCCCATTTTGCTATTATTTGAACCCTTTTAGACACAAAATTTTTTTTTAATTTTAGGCAATATAATCTGAAGACAGAAAGAATTAAAAAATCACTTAACTGGACAGAAAAAGATGATTTTTAAAAATCCCCACCCTTTCCAACCTTCCTTCTGTTATCTTTCCTTTGGACTGCCAACATAAACATTTTCCGTAGCAAAACAGATGCACATGTTTAGTGGTTTCTTTTAAAGGTACACATTACTTTACTCTTTCTGTACCATTCCTTTTTTTTTTTTTTTTTTTTGTGAACTCTTTGAATCCCTGTGTATATTATAGCTCTTTATGTACCAAACTTATTACTAAATTATTGAAGACTAATAATTATGGCTAAAACTAAAGTTTAGGAAAGACTGCAGAAGCAGCAACTACCTGGGACTGAATGAGTTAATGCTTAGCCATCCTGTAATTAAACATTCTCAGTACGGATGCCAAGCCAAACCGGTAAATCTCAAATACTCTGTTGAACCTCTAAAGAAATAGTAAATGAAAAACCCACAACCGGCACACCAGTTTGGCGTAACCTGCGATCTTGTGATAGTCATAACCTTGTGCACTTTTAGAGTAACAATCTCTTAACCTTCATGGTTTAAAATTATACAAGAATATGATAAGCTGATTTAAAATAACAAACGAAACAGATTTGATTATTTAAGACCACAAAAGACTGAGACAGAAGAAGTTCAGAAATCTCTTTAATGAACAGAGCAATGGGTTCCCAGTTAGCTTTGGAGCTGTCCTATTTTCTGTGGTCTGCCACATACTTTTTAACAGTCGTAGTGAAGAACTTTTTCTTATTTATAAATATCAGAATCGCTAAAAGAGACTGCATTCTAAAGTTATAATTTTTATTTTTTTTTATTTTGTTATTGATATCATGGATCCCTTAAAATTGTTCCACTGACTCTTAGGGGTCTAAAGACCATCACATGGGAAAGATCTCTAAAGGTAAAGGTAACGGTAAAGGTGAAAGGATTTACTACATTGCAATGGGTTTTATCCCATATGGCTTAGTCTCTCTCCGCAGAACAGCTAGTTGCCTGCAGACAGTGTTGCACAGAGAACAGCCTCCGTACCTCCGGTGATGACCCCCAGAGATCTCTGTCAAAATTGCACTTGTGAACTCAACGGCACCACTGTAAAATAAACCCACTATCTTCAGAGTGCAAAGCAAACAGCTTACCACTTCGCCGCAGAGACCCCCTTCTAGTAATTAATGAACATACTGTGAGCTGCCTGATAATGAAAGAGTTAGTTTCAATGCTTTTTTTTTTTATTTATTTATTTTCATTTAAGACTGTTGATAAATCGCATGACTTATTTAGCATGAGGTTTTTTTTTTTTGGGTGCTAATTTATAACATAGTTACATGTGAAATATTAAGTGGAGTCACACCATTGTACACTGTCCACAAGAAAATATTTGTAACGTTGTCTAGAACACATAGGCACCGCATTATAAAGTGCTGGCATATGATCAGCTGTAACCAACATGCCAAACAACAATGATAAAACATGGTAATTGACTGCAGTGGAGTCATAACACTGTTCACTGTACGCAAGGAATCATTGCTGACTCATTCTAAAGCACATACACACAGCATTATCAGTGCTCAGCATAATCAAGTGTTAACATGATCATCTGTAACCAACATGCCAATAACAACAATGTAAGAAACAAAGTAACTGACTGGAGGAGGAGTCACAAAAGTGCATACTGGACCCATTGAAAGATTAGTGACTTAGTCTAAAGCACACAAACCTGTGTTATGAAGTGCTAACACATCATCAGCTGTAACCAACATGCCAATAACAACAATGTAAGAAACAAAAGTAAATGACTGGAGGAGGAGTCACAACAGTGCATACTGGACCCATTGAAAGATTAGTGACTTAGTCTAAAGCACACAAACCTGTGTTATGAAGCAGCTGTAACCAACATGCCAATAACAATGATGTCAAATCATTGGGAGAGCTGACACAACACTGTGCACTGCACACAAGCAATTACTGCTGACTTATTCTAAAGCACATACGCATTGATCAACTGTAACCAGCATGCCAATAACAACAATATAAAAACATGGGAACTGACTGGAATGGAGTCACAACATTGTACACAAGGAATTACTGCTGGCTCATTCTAAACACATATGCAATGCATTATCAAGTTCTGGGACATGATCAACTGTAACCAGCAAAAACAATGTAAGATACATGGGAACTGAATAGAATGGAGTCATTGTACACTGCACACAAGGAATTACTGCTGGCTCATTCTAAACACATATGCAATGCCTTATCAAGTTCTGGGACATGATCAACTGTAACCAACATGCCAGTAACAACAATGTAAGAAACATGATAAGTGACTAAGGAAACACATATAACATTGAAAACAAGAAGGTACACACAAAAATACTGCAACTGCTGAATCTCAAAGCTCAAAAGTAAAAAGTAAAAAGACCCTTTTCATGCATATGGTGTTAATAAAAGTAAAGGACTCTTTCTCATGCCAGGGAGCACTGAGCATTTGAGTGTAGACTGGTGACGTTATAGACCAATCAGGACTTGATGCGTGATGTGGTCAACACTGCGCTGGGAAGATTAAGTAACGAAACATAACTGAACAAAATGGGAAGGCTAAGTAATAAAACATACCTGAACAACATGGGAAGACTAAGTAATGAAACATACCTGAACAACATGGGAAGACTAAGTAATGAAACATACCTGAACAACATGGGAAGACTAAGTAATGAAACATACCTGAACAAAATGGGAAGACTAAGTAATGAAACATACCTGAACAACATGGGAAGACTAAGTAATGAAACATACCTGAACAAAATCGGAAGACTAAGTAATGAAACATACCTGAACAAAATGGGAAGATAAACTAACAAAACATATCTGGACAACATTGGAAGACTAAGTAACAACATATACCTGAACAACATGGGAAGACTAAGTAATGAACTTATCTGAACAACATGGAAAGATTAAGTATTGAAACATACCTGAACAACATGGAAAGACTAAGAAATGAACCCTATCTGAACAATATGGGAAGACAAAGTAAAGAAACATACCTGAACAACATTGGGAAGACAAAGTAAAGAAACATACCTGAACAACATGGGAAGACTAAGTAATGAAACATACCTGAACAAAATGGGAAGACTAAGTAATGAAACATACCTGAACAACATGGGAAGACTAAGTAATGAAACATACCTGAACAAAATCGGAAGACTAAGTAATGAAACATACCTGAACAAAATGGGAAGATAAACTAACAAAACATATCTGGACAACATTGGAAGACTAAGTAACAACATATACCTGAACAACATGGGAAGACTAAGTAATGAACTTATCTGAACAACATGGAAAGATTAAGTATTGAAACATACCTGAACAACATGGAAAGACTAAGAAATGAACCCTATCTGAACAATATGGGAAGACAAAGTAAAGAAACATACCTGAACAACATTGGGAAGACAAAGTAAAGAAACATACCTGAACAACATGGGAAGACTAAGTAACAAAACAGCAATGAAACATACCTGGACACAGACAAATTGGAAGTTTGCTGAGACAGACTGGTTTCATAGCTGGGTCGAGCAGGTGCTTGACTCCCAAAAGGTCGAGGTGCTGTATTAAATGTCTGAAGCAGGAATATCAACATTTGTGAAATAAAACTGGCAGAGTTGATTTCTGATGAGTAATGTTAGCGTCATTTAATATTTGTCTTCTTCAGCAGCAGCATTGCCAGCACTTGAGGTTCACTGCTGCAGATATCACCCACATCCATGCATCAATTTGATTGACCCTCTCTTTCCAGTTGGTGACTCTAAGTGTTTGTAAATTAAGTTCCTTTTTTCTTTATTATTCTTATTCATTTCTTCATTAACTTTTTCTCAAATGTTAAACACTCCAATCTATTTTTCCCAAAATAAATCTAAAACTTTATCTACTGAATATTTCTACTGTATATTGTATATTTCTGCAAAATAAACTCTAACTGGTTCATGAAAAGTATCTTGCCCTAAAACTGAGGTATTTTGGCAAAGTTAACGTGTCGCTGTTGCCTGGAGGATGCAGTTTCTTCAAAATAAGGCACAGGCTGATCTCCAAGAAGGTGGATACAAGACTCTGAACATGCACTGGTTCTGAAAGTGCACAAGGCTGGAGAACTGGTTAGAGAGAGAGACTTTGAGGCTTGCCGTGATGAAAGGGACGTTGTGTAAAAGACATGCTGTCTGATGAGACTTCTGATGAGCAACATGCTTAATGGCCAAAGGATCAACTTCACTAAACAAGAATGTATCTTATGTGGTGATGTTTCTCTCCAGAGTGTGGATGTCAATTTGCTAAAAGCATGGATGTTAATTTGCTGACAGTGTGGATGTTAATTTGCTGACATTGTGGCTCTTTGTTTGCTAACAGTGTGGATGTTAATTTGCTGTCAGTATGGATGTTCATTTGCTGACAGAGCTGCTGATTATTTGCTGAGAGTGTGGTTGTTTATTTGCTGAGAGTGTAGCTGTTTATTTGCTGAGAGTGTAGCTGTTTATTTGCTGAGAGTGTGTCTGTTTATTTGCTGAGAGTGTAGCTGTTTATTTGCTGAGAGTGTAGCTGTTTATTTGCTGAGAGTGTGTCTGTTTATTTGCTTACAGTGTAGCAAAAAAAACAGTCCTTAGGGATAAAATGGGAGCTTTTGAGGCGAAATGCTGTTGAAAGATTCTCAAAATACCATGGAAATAATAAAAAATCTTGAAATTAAAAAAAGATTGGCCAGTAAAGAACATTTCATCTCGGAAACTGAAATATTCTGGTCATTTCAAGCATCACAGCGGATTGAGAAAAAAAATAACAGCAGAAGGCATGATACCAGGAAAAAGGTGCAGAAACCAAACAGTATGAAGATAAGCACAAGATAAAAGTGACTTCTTTGACAGGAAAGTGCACATGGCGGGACAGCTGGAGAGAGACTGTTTCTTTCAAGCAGACCATGATGAGAGTAACTTTCTGCAAAGGACTTGCTATTTGATGATGATGTAGCAAAAAGAATGAAACTTCTTAGCTCCAAACTTCTTGAGTTGAGTTTAGAACATTTCAATAAGTGCTCTGTCCTGATCTCCAGTAATGCTGGGGTGCTGGATTCAATCTCAGCTGCAGATGGCTTGTCTTGCTTTGTTTCAACAGTGGTCCTGAGAGCTGACTGTTCAGTAAGCAATGGCAAACTAGTAAACATAAAATTTGCCTAGAAAAATCACAATAGCCCAAAAAATGCTGGGGTTGGTTCTGCAACGACCTGTAAAGGATATGCAACTAACTTCTTTCTCATCTCCAGTAACCCATAAATAGTTCCAGTACGCAGGGTAGCAGTGTGATCTAATCTCTATCTTTCCTTTCCTGTGTTGAGTGTCAGTCAGATTCTCTGGACACTTCCTGTTGCACCATTCTCTCCTCACAATAATGATCTTCAAGCTTCTAAAGTGTTTCCGTGCTTCCCCCTTTCCCCCCCCCCTCCCCCCAAACTGTATCCAGAACAGATCCCATTATCTTCAGGGCAAAAGGCAGCTTAATCGTTTTGCCACTGTGATCCATCCCACTTAATCATACCATAAAAATCTAACAACTCACTCAACCACAACATAAAGATGATACCACTCACCTGCTGAGATGCAGGGCCAGGTGGTGAGACTGCTTGAGGCCGAGCAGTCCAGTTGTTGCTTGTGTTAATTTCAGGTCCATTGAACCTGTCACCCCCTGCAGTACCGCCCCTAAGAACAGTAAGTTATTTGGTTACTTCCAGATTGTCTACAGAAGCAACAATATTCATTACTAAACAAATTACAATGTACAAGTATGTGTATATCTATGTACTAGTCTTGTGGATAATATTTGAAAATAAACATTACACTGACTAATCATATGTGAAATAAGTCCTTCTACGAAAGCAAATGAGCTCTAAACAACTGCAATTTAATTAAAACACTCTGACACAAGAACAGTGAATAGCTGCCCCTCAAATTTTTTTAAACTGTGGCTCATTCATGATGTTATAAATATCTAAATGCTCCTTGGCTGGGTTGAAAAAAGGTTCCTTACTTCCTGATCTTTTTTTTCCACAAATGTTCCTATTGCCTAATATATAATGAGGTATTTTGTTAAAATACTAATCCTACTATGAAATAATACAATATGTGTCAATTAATATTTTATATATATATATATATATATATATATATATATATATATATATATATATATATATATATATATATATGTGTGTGTGTGTGTGTGTGTGTGTGTGTGTGTGTGTGTGTGTGTGTGTGTGTGTGTGTGTGTGTGTGTGTGTGCGTGCGTGCGTGTGTGTGTGCGCGTGATAAAAACATTATTATCAGATTTAAATACTACTAATTTTTCTCTAATATGTTAACTGCTCTGATATACTGCAATGACACTACACTACTATAATAATAATAGTAATACTTTATTTCCTGCGTGATATTACAATCTCTGCAATGAGGCGCAAATATTTCTACAACTATTAGTACTGTTTCTACAATGCAAAAGAAAAAAGTAAAGGACGCTTTGTTTTTCATGCTTCTGGTTCATGGAGCATATAATACTAAATATACAGTATAACAGATCAATCAGCATTTGATAGATGATGCGGTCAACATCATGCCCACTGCCTTTACTGCACAGGGAATTACGTTCTATCCATTTTAGTTTGGGTTCACCTGGGAGCCATCCATTTTAGTTTGGGTTCACCTGGGAGCCATCCATTTTAGTTTGGGTTCACCTGGGAGCCATCCATTTTAGTTTGGGTTACCTGGGAGCCAATGTATTACGTTCTATCCATTTTAGTTTGGGTTACCTGGGAGCCAATGAATTACGTTCTATCCATTTTAGTTTGGGTTACCTGGGAGCCAATGAATTATGTTCTATCCATTTTAGTTTGGGTTACCTGGGAGCCAATGTAAATTTTGAAGAAAAGTAAATTGTAATTGAAATAATTTGATCCCCTGACCTTCGGATGCTTACCATATCATCCATCTTGTGCCGATTGGTCTACAAAATATAGGTCTAGCCCTATATGCCTAAAGGTGTGGAAAAGGGTCCTTTACTTACTAACGGTGGAATGTGACAAGACTCTAGAAGGTAAAACATAACTATTAATGGCATAACTATTAATAGTTAGTTCTGACTGGAGATACTTTTAAACTCTATAATGAAATACACTAACTTATTAAACACAACATACTCAACAATGAGTTACTGGTAACTTTATACAGAGATAACTTTACTATGATATTCCTAACGTTTCTATGAAAATACAGACGTGTCTATACATTGGCGATGCAACTACTGTTATTGTTTGGGTGAGTTTTACTGTCTCAAATATACACTCTATAATTAAGACAGAAGAGTACAGGAAAACTCAGCTGGCAATACTGTAAAGGTATTTGTTACACACACAGAGTTAATCAACAGCGGTCATTCAAGACATTATTCATTCATAACAATGACTGTTTTTATTTCTAAATTTATGGTTACAAATGTAACTATTTAATGGCTGCAGAAGACATGGAATTCAAAACAATGTCTTCCCCATTGTGAATTTAAATTAATGTTTATTTAAATAATGGCGCAGTCTGAAGAATGAGATGTATAAACTGAAAGTGTGTCTGCTCTTTTGGGTTAATATGTGAGTTTGTGTCTATGTGTGTAAGCTTGTGTTTGTATATGTGTGTAAGCTTGTGTTTGTATATGTGTGAGTGTATCTATGTGTGAGTTTGTGTCTATGTGTGTGAGCTTGTGTTTGTATATGTGTGAGTGTATCTATGTGTGAGTTTGTGTCTATGTGTGTGAGCTTGTGTTTGTATATGTGTGAGTGTATCTATGTGTGAGTTTGTGTCTATGTGTGTGAGCTTGTGTTTGTATATGTGTGAGTGTATCTATGTGTGAGTTTGTGTCTATGTGTGTGAGCTTGTGTTTGTATATGTGTGAGTCAGCATGGTGTTGTGTGAGTGTATCTATGTGTGAGTTTGTGTCTATGTGTGTGAGCTTGTGTTTGTATATGTGTGAGTCAGCATGGTGTTGTGTGAGTGTATCTATGTGTGAGTTTGTGTCTATGTGTGTGAGCTTGTGTTTGTATATGTGTGAGTCAGCATGGTGTTGTGTGAGTGTATCTATGTGTGAGTTTGTGTCTATGTGTGTGAGCTTGTGTTTGTATATGTGTGAGTCAGCATGGTGTTGTGTGAGTGTATCTATGTGTGAGTTTGTGTCTATGTGTGTGAGCTTGTGTTTGTATATGTGTGAGTCAGCATGGTGTTGTGTGAGTGTATCTATGTGTGAGTTTGTGTCTATGTGTGTGAGCTTGTGTTTGTATATGTGTGAGTCAGCATGGTGTTGTGTGAGTGTATCTATGTGTGAGTTTGTGTCTATGTGTGTGAGCTTGTGTTTGTATATGTGTGAGTCAGCATGGTGTTGTGTGAGTGTATCTATGTGTGAGTTTGTGTCTATGTGTGTGAGCTTGTGTTTGTATATGTGTGAGTCAGCATGGTGTTGTGTGAGTGTATCTATGTGTGAGTTTGTGTCTATGTGTGTGAGCTTGTGTTTGTATATGTGTGAGTCAGCATGGTGTTGTGTGAGTGTATCTATGTGTGAGTTTGTGTCTATGTGTGTAAGCTTGTGTTTGTATATGTGTGAGTCAGCATGGTGTTGTGTGAGTGTATCTATGTGTGAGTTTGTGTCTATGTGTGTAAGTTTGTGTTTGTATATGTGTGAGTCAGCATGGTGTTGTGTGAGTGTATCTATGTGTGAGTTTGTGTCTATGTGTGTAAGCTTGTGTTTGTATATGTGTGAGTCAGCATGGTGTTGTGTGAGTGTATCTATGTGTGAGTTTGTGTGTGAGCATGTGTGTGTCTGTTGATACACGTGCATGTGGGCATAAGCTGAGCATAAATGTTTGAGTAATTAGGTATGACACTGTGAGAATGTGTGTGAGTATATGCATGAGTGCACTCTGCTTGTAAGGGTGCATATTTGTATGGCAATATTTGTTGAGCTGTGTGTGTGTGTGTGTGTGTGGACACTATACATGAGTCTAAATGTGTTCACGTTTGCAACTACATTTCAATCTGTAGGCGTGGATATATCTTTACACATCTGTACAGCGAGCTGAAAATACATACATTCCTTAGTCAACAGCAGACAACAACCGTCAGGCAAATCATGCTTAATTCATGTGTAAACTATTTGTACAAAGAGACACCAACAAGTCTTAAATGAGTCATAACAAAATATTAGTGAATGTTTCAAAGCCACATACCAGTCATTTTTAATGATAGCTTTTGTTTCACAACACATCAGAAACAAGAAATTAAACTAACCATTTCATGAGACATACTTTTTAAGACATCAGATGTGACAGACTTTTTATGACATTACAGGAGACATACTTTTATGACATTATATGAGACAGATGCACACAAGTACAGGTGAACATTTCAATCACTCTTTAATAACTGGCAAAATAACAGACTATTTAAACCGACAACAAAACTGTTGGGCATTTTTTTTTAAAAAGGACATTATACATCTGTTGCACTGAAAATACTCCCCTGGCCGATATATCTTTTATCTACCTCTCACCCTCAGTATTCCCCACTTCATATGGTAATATTTTCATATAAACACAACTTCTTAGGGAAATCATCTGTAGCAGTCATATTTACTGTACTGTTCCATACTCATAAGACAGGCAACAGGTTTAGATGACAGGTGTCGCTACTGGGTGTTTTATCACCATGCATATTAGTTTTGTCAGCGTCTGTGGCTTAAACGCTGCAAACAATTCTAAAGTACTAGGCTCAATCCCAGCTGTGGGTGATTTGGCAGCAGACCACCTTGCATTAGTTTCAACAGCAGTATCAAGAGCTGATCATTCATAAAAGCAGTGGCAAACTACTCAATGTAAAATTGCCTAGCAAAATCACAAACAGCCCCAGTTGGGACTTGCAATGTCTTGTACAGGATATAACAAGATTTGTTTTTAAAACTTTTTTAATTAATCTCATGTGTGATTTGTTTTAGACTAGCTTTACACGCAGCATTCTATATCAGCTTCTTCAACTACATTTCTCAAGTTTTCTGTGTGAATGATAATGCTGGGTCTATGCTGGCACCTTTACTCTTTCCAGATGATAGTTTTCCATTCTGCAAAACAGAGTCATAGGAATCACAACCCATGGTGATGGAGAGTGTGACCAGCAAGACCTTCTCACGTTAAGAAAATTCTTCCACAATAAGTGCATGAGATTTCAGAACCATAGCTGCCATCACATGTTTCTGAATGCTTCTTCTCATGCACTCAGCTCTTAACCTGGCTGCAATCCCTGTCTTCTCTGTCCATGTTTCTTTCCTAATTTTCTCCTCTATGCAATGTGATCGATGAAATCTTGTCCCCATAAATCCACCTCAATACCTGTATCATTCAAGTCCCACTGGCACATGTCTTTAAATCATAGCAGAGGCCACCCCAATATCTAGGTCTATATGCTGGTTCTTCCTACTGGCTCTATATGCATTCTTTAAAGAAATCTAGCGTAACAGAGCTTTAATAATGGTTTGTGTTTTTGCACAAGAAAAGTAAGAATGTTTGTTAAAATATGACTTGTTCCTATCAACTTTCTGATCAGTGTCTTAACACTGTTTTCAGATAAACTATAGACTCAGTGTATCGCCATTAAGACATACCAATAATGGTTTG